TATTTTTGTTTCCTCCATTTGAGAGGAAGAAAGAGAATGTGTAAATTTTTATTTGTATAGGAAGAAAAAAATTTCAATTAGGTTAAATATTTTCGATACAGAAGACTTTAGAAGATTTTAGAAGACTTTAGAAGGTTATTCACCCAGAAGACTTACTTTGAAGAATTACTATTCTCCCAGAAGTCTAACTATTTCAGTGGGAAATAGTAAACTATAGAAGACTTAAGAAGACTTTGGAAGACCTACAGAAAGACCTTAAGTAGGTCTTCAGAGGTCTTCAGATGTCTTCCAAAGTTTTGACTTTGGAAGACTTACTGGAAGACTTTAAGTATATCTTCCGAGGTCTTCGAAGGTCTTCTAGTAGGTATTCTAAAGTCTTCTTAAGTCTTCCAGATTATCATGACTAACTTATATGACTTAGAAATGTCTATAATTAGATGATTATGATTTTTCCTCTAGAAATTTTCTTTTTGAAATTTCTAAATTATTTTAAGAACTAATACACTAGAAGACTTTCCCTGAAAAACTTTAGAAGACATTGGAAGACTTAATTTTAAGAGGAAAAACTATTTTTTTTTAGAATTTTAAGCGGGAAATCTAAATTTTGAGCGGAAAACTGGTATTAAGTCTTCATAAATCTTCTGAACCCAGAAAGTCAAATATATATAACTAAATCACATACAAAGACTTTATTAAATTTAAATTAAACATATAAAATGTTTAATCTACACAAAACTAAACACATATAGCTAAAATGTATTTTTAAAAAGGTTAAGATTCCACAATCTAACCCTAAAAACACATACAATACTACAACATAGTTACCAAACCATAAACCATATAATATCATGCTTTGTTACATTTACTCATCTATGTTGAAAAAAATTCAATTTTATTTAGTCTAAATTTATATCACTTACAAATGTCTATAATTATATGATAATATTTTTTCCCTATCAAAATATTTTTTATGAAATTTATAAATTATTTTCAGAACTAATACACTAGAAGACTTTCCTTGGAAGATTTTAGAAAGATTTCCGTGGAATACTTTAAAAGACATTGAAAGACTTAATTTTAAGCGGGTAACCTTAATTTTTTTCAAAAAATTATGCGGGAAACCAAAATTTTGAGAGAGAAACTGTTATTAAGTCTTCATAACTCTTCCAAAACCCCAAAATCAAAGATGTAAAATATATAACTAAATTACATACAAATTTTTTATCAAACTAAATTAAACTTATAAAGTGTTTAATCTACACAACTAAACACATATAGCTAAATTTTACATTTTTTAAAAAACCATGTTAAGATTCCACAAACTTACCTTAAGAACACATCCAATACTACAACATAGTTACCAATCCCTAAACCAAAGAATATCATGACAAACTTAATTCACTCATCTATCTTGAAAACTATTTAGTTTTATTAAATCTATATTTACATCATTTATAAATGTAAATAATTACATGATTATGATTTTTTACTAACCAAAATATATTTTCTTAAATTTATAAATTAGTTTTAAGATCTATAGCAAGAGTAAGTCTTCTCATGAGATTTACCTGAAAGTCTTCTCACTCGAAAGGTTATAATGGTAAACTATAATCCTGTTTTTTTTTTGGTCATGAGGGGATATTAGTAATTTCACTAGCCTTTTGAGTTAATTTTGCATTTGATTTGAGTTTGGGTACACTTTTGCATTTAAAATCAAGTTTTGAGTCATATTTGAAAAATCTCCCAACTATTAATTATGTTATGTTTAATAATTATCATTGTTTTGCAAAATAAATAATGATCATTCTTTTCACATAAATTTATGCATTGAAAATATATTAAGTGCATATCCATCAATCTATAAATTTTCAAACCAAAATTTTATAATATTTATTTTTGCATGTTATATTGTTATATTTTCAAAATATCAGAATAATTTTCATCAAAAATTTAATTTCAAGAAAAAATATCAGAATAATATTTAACTTTAGGGAAAATTCCAGAAAAAATATGCCAACTAAATTTTGTTAAAAATTTAAAACCTAATTTAATTTTTTATACAATTTAATATTTTAATTAATTATTTCAACCATTTCAATACACATTTTTTTATACTGGCATATTTTAAAACCCAAACACTATTTGTTTGGGGGAATTTTAATTTTATCACATATTTGTACAACTTTTCATGTTTATCTTCAGTAAAACGACATATTCACAAATACCTAAAATAAACTAAAACTAATTATTTCACCAAAGTACAAAAAGGCCAAAAGATGTTTCATTAATGAGATAAAATACTTCTCTACCCTTGTTTTATAGATTTATAAATATAAATATTTATTTTAAAATAATAATTGTGTATAATGTTGGAATTATATGTTTTTGAATTCAAACTTTTTATATATTTTTTGAAATCCTCTTTTTCCATTTTTTCTGGAAATCTATATATGAAATAAGAGATGCTACTTAGTTTTTTCGAATTCAACTTTTTATAGTTAGTTTTTTTAACACATGCAAAATAATTAGTTACCATATGAAATTAGGTGAAAAAACGTTTGGGTATGAAAAGTTGAAATTTAGTTCGTGTATATTTACGAATTTTTACATTAAATTTATAAATATAATGTTAAACTACATAAATAATGATAACTTTACCTTATCAAGTATCAACTGTGGTTCAAGATTCATTTTAATAATATAATTTGATACAAAACAACAAAATGCTACAAAAATTTATATAAAATAATCAAATCATGAATTTTAATTTAGGAACTATGTTAACCTTACAAAGATCATATCGTTAATATACGGCATATACTGGTTTGATCTGGATATATCCAAAGTTTAATCCAAACTTTTAAAGCAAACATAAGAAATAAACACTTATTTATATAGAAGCAGATATTTAAGGTACTTTTTAAAATTTAAATATTTATTTTAGATATCACTCAAAAATAAATACAGATTTGAATTATATATTTATGTTTCAAAATATTTATACTTGTCATTAATTTGAACATTCAGATCGGTTTTTCAAATCTTTACAGGCTTGTTTGGTTTATTGGTTAGGATTAGCTAATAACACTTCGGTTTTGATATATTATGTACCACTACCACCCTACAAAATCTCTTATGGAATTTCTTACATTTCAGATCGGGTACGGATAGGATTTTTGTAGTTTGGGTTTGGCATGGACTTCGGGTTATGGATTTTTATGCTCAAGCATATTGCAAGTATATTTTAAATAAAGAGAAAAGACTGTTATAATATTTTCACCGAAAATTTATCCTGCGCTTTGAAAACGCGGATCAAAATCTAATATAATCTATTAAAAAAATATCCTAAATTTTATCTACTTATCAACGTTTCCACTTAAGTTTTGGACTTATTCATATATCACTAGAATATATATACCAATACAACTAAATATGAGATTGATATCCCCTTAACTTACTTTTAATATTACAAATGGCCACTCCTATTTTTATAAATAACAACATTAATTAGTTTAATCCTAATTACTAATTACTATACATTCAAAATTGTTCACCATTGATTTATTTTATTGTATTTAATTTTTTCTTATTTTTTCTAATATTTTAAACATGCCAAAGCCTAATAGAATTCTTCTATTTAATTGTGGTGCATCAGAAAAATACAGCAACATTGCTTTGATTTTGAATCTTACTATGAATTTATGATTGGTAAATTATAGTTATACAACTATATGATCTTTATAATTTTTAACCTTTAATATTTTTATAGCTATAGTACTATACAAATATATAATTGCTATAATATGTGATTCAAAAACATATTTTATTTAGACTTGGGCTAACATATTATATCACCAGTTCTAAAATGGTTAGTGCATGGATTAATCATCATTACTCAGACATGGACTAACATAATATATCATCAATATTTGTTATAACATGTTTTTTTAATAAAACACTAAAATTTTGATCTGGACATCGGTTATTTTATTCTTTTTTTTCAATGGATTTTTATTTTAATATAGTTATGTTTATTTTATATGATATTATTTAATCATATCGCTATTTAAATGTTAAACAAAACATTACCATAATATAACTTATTTTTCATTTGGTAAAATTTATCATTGTCAATTATCCTTCTATTATTATTTTATATTTAAAAGAGAAATGAATATTCCTTTCTAACAAAATCTTTCTAATTATGTGTAAAATTCATTGACGAAACTTAATTAATTTAAATTGTTATCATCATTAAAAAATAACTAATTTTATATTGTTTTAGTTTTCGTTTACAAATGAAAAATAAATTAACTCTAATCTCTAATATAGTTTATGATAATCAGAAATTTAATTAATTAAATTTTGAAAATAAATTCTAAAAAAGATTCCGAAAACATATTTCATCTAGATTTTAACAGAATTTTTTTAAAAAAATATTCATTTGTATTCCAAATAAAAAGATAAATATATTGAAAGATATTCTAATTCAGTTATGTAAAAATTAATATAGTTTCTAAGAATGTTCCAAACAAAACAAAAAACAAAATAAGAAAATTTAAAACAAACCCCTATTCATAAATAACTAAATATTAATATATTTTAGAAACCAAAAACCAATCAAACAAAAAAATAATAAATATAATATGAGCGCGAACTGATGTCTAAAAATATCATCAATTATAAAAATATAAATTATAAACAATTTCGCGCAACTGCGCAGATTAGAATCTAGTTTGACTTACAATAAATCACATTTGCCATGTCACTTTTTAGCACTAATCAAATTATAACGTTTATGTATATAAGAATTATTATGAATTAGAAAAAAATTATTATGAATTAATAGGTATTGTTTTAAAGTTGTTTCTCCCAAATTTAGTAATGATTACAACACATAATAAACTTTTTGATAAATTTAACTGCATCTCTTCTTTTGTTGGATTAAATCCTTGTGTAGTACGTTATTCCTTACGCGTACGTGTTCATGATAAGAAAAACTACAGATCTTGGTGAGTTACGAACGCAGCTTTCCTATATTCTGCAAGTGCCCACAATGGGAAGGTGCTTCTGTATGTAGCATAGTGTAGCATGCAAGTATTCATGAACGCTCCTACAATTTCCTGCATACCAAGACATAACATAAACAGAGAATTAGCTCAGAGTATCAATTCATTGGTCATACATTGAGTTTGTTAGAGTGGAAAAAGTGATGGGAGTTGAGGTTGTTAGAGATTCAAAAAGCAAAGAAAATAAATTTTGTATAAAGTAAACAGTGAGAATAATACAGATTAGCTTGAACTGATTTCATTAACTATATGATGATCTGGTAAAAACATTAACATGTAGATAAAACCTAGCCCTTCTAACAAAGATTCTAGATCCATGGTCAAAAAGTGATACCGTCTCTAATATCTTCTTCTATCCATCTACTTCTTAAGTTACCTTATTTCTAGATACAACTAGCTAATATAAACTAAGATCTTTCAAAGAGGATGTCAGAAATTTACTTGTTGAGGAAAATCTCCACTTTCCATTTGTGAATTGATGATGAATTTTGCAGCTTTGTGAAGAGGCATAACATCTCTCTCCGCCTGTTGTTATATAACCGCATAATAAACGACTGGTTTCAAGACAACCTCGTCGTAGTAAACAAAAAAGTACACATGTAAACAGAAAATATTTGAACCTGTCCTGCAGAAATCAGACCCATCATAGCCCATGCGGTTTGAACTAGGTTTGATCCATTCCCTTCTAGTGGTATGTATCTCTGTATGCAAATATATCAAAATGAATAACACTTCTTCAAAAGTTTACGTGAAATTGGTATACTATAATCTAATATTGTTTTTTTGGTAAAATAATATAATATTGTTGACTCATAAAAATACAAGTTCAGGACTTTTTATTTTTTACCTGTTCAGGACATGAGAGATAGCTTTCGCCCCAACCTCCATCTTCATTCTGTATTGAAAGAAGAAAATCTACTCCTTTGCGGATAGACAAACAGTTGTTGTATGTTTTACCAATCGTTGATAGGCCGCTAAGAGCAAACCATGTGCCGTACGTAAAACAAATACCCCAGTTTCCATACCTACAATTACTCAAAACAAAATAAAAACGTTTGTTAAGGAGTTTTTGAAAACACATTCATTACACATATTTTAATTATAATAAAGTAACATACCATGAACCATCGGGCATTTGTATACTTTCTATGAACTTCCCGGCTTTTTCGATCGACTTGGTGATTTCTTTTATCCTATGCTCCGGATATAATTGTTTGAACATAACCAAAGCTTGTATAACAGATGAGGTACATTCCACGTATTCGCCCTCAGACATAACATTAGCAAAAAAATCTGTGGGATTTAGCAACTGCAACACCAATCACAAAGATTAGTGATTCTCTTCTTAAAGAATGTTCAAAATAAAATAAAATAATATATATATATATTTCTGTGCGTTTAGCTCTTACTTCCAACCATTTAGGTGCGCAGGCAGGTTCCCATGCAGTCAAACCTCCATTTTTACTCTAGATAAAATGACGCGTAGTCATGACTCATATATAATCCTTAGAGCACTAATTTTGAGCACCAGGATTGTACATATAAACTCACCTGTAGAGATAGCAAGAGATTAACAGAATCGTATAGATGTTCAGGATCCATTTTCTGGCCAACGACATCAGCTGGCATTATCGAGAGCAAAAGGCAACACTACAAAACCAAAGAAGTACATGTTAAACTGAGGGATGAGTCTTGTGGGCTTGTTCTGCTTCAAGAACTAATTTGATTACCTTAAGAGCTTCAGCTGTACAATCTGAAACTTGCCATCCATGATCTCTATCCGAAAACGTCCATGCTCCTTTGGAACTGTGACGATACATGCTCTTGAAGTCACCTGAAGGGTTTTCTCTGACCTATAAACGTCTTTGATTAAGAAACAACTTGGGTTTTCCAAAGAGAAATTCAAGATACAAGGATATATATGAAACCTGAGATATCTTTATGTAATTGTGTCCTCTCCTTAGAACCTCATCGGTCTCATCACAGAGATCACTAGCAAGTAAAGCCTGAATAGCAAACCCTGTTTCCCAAAGCTGACTTCCAAAGCTCTGCGTATATTTGAAAATTCTTAAGACTTTTTCTACTAGACTATGTTAGGGCATCCTCAATAGAAAGCTCTTAAAAGCACCCGCAGTGGGTGAGTACCTTATGAAATTTCTCACATTTATAATAATAAAAATTAATAAAACAAGAGAGAAAGTGTAAAAGGGGAAGAAACGTTTCTTCAGAGAGATTTTGCCAAATCCATATGAGATTCATATGCTACATTTCACCTTATGGCTGGTTGAACATATTATGTGTTTAAATTTTACTTACACAACAAAACAAATACTAATATTAAACTCATGAGATACTTTACTAAGAAATCGTCCCACTAATGATGCTCTAAAGGAGTTTATCAACTAATAGTGAAAGAGAAACCACTACACATGTGGAAGAAAGAGGTGGTGAGTTTAATTAAAATATTTGGGCTAATTTGCTGAAAGTGTCTTTGGTTCATATGGTTTCGTATGCCATTGAATACGTCGGGTCATGGCTTCAAAGATGTTCTATACCAATGAAGATTACATGCGACATTACGGGAATCTGGTATTCGAGGAAATGAGGTCAAATTCACCATTCATGTGATTAGTATCAATAGGTGAAAACGGTGATTGGTAATCTAAGGAAAGTAGAGCAAATTTGCAGAATGCGCAGTGGTGATGGAAAACAAGTTATGTAATATTTTACTTGGATCATTTTGGTTGATTCAGGCTTGTAATCGAGCCTTTTAGGATTTTTAAATATAATTACTTAAAAAGAAAAAAGATGATCTATACCATATGTTCTTTCATATTTTTTTATTGGCATTTAGTATTATAAATTTTTTAGTAATAAGACTATAAGAAAAACACATCGTTAAAATACGGCTTATATTGGTTTAACTATTTATAAAATAATCAAATCACTAAAAATATTAAAGGTTAAAAATTATAACGACATATCGTAAAATACGGTTTATACTTTGGTCTGGATATATCCAAAGTTTAATCCAAAATTTTAAACTAAAACATAAGAAATTAATTAAACATTTATTTATATAAAAGCAGATATTTAAGGTACTTTTAAAATTTTAAATATTTATTTTAGATATCACTAAAAAATAAATATAGATTTGAATTATATATTTATGTTTCAAAAATATTTATATTTGTGATTAATTTGAACATTCAAATCAGTTTTTCAAATATTTACAGGTTTGTTTGGTTATTGGTTTGGATTGGTTAATAACACCTCGGCTTTGATATGTTATGTACCACTACCATCCTACAAGATCTCTTATGATATTTTTTACATTTCAGACCGGGTATGAATATGATTTTTGTAGTTTGGGTTTGGCATGGACTTCGGGTTATGGATTTTTATGCTCAAACATATTGCAAGTATATTTTAAACTAGTGGTTTTCCCGGGCTACGCCCGGGTTTTCTTATATAAATTTTAGTTTAATTTAATTTATATTATTAATTTTGAATATATATATATATAATACCTATATATCGATTTTAAACATGTAAATCATAAAATGAAGTTTAAATTATTAAACTGTAAACAAAATAATATTGACAGTAGATGTTATATGTTTCTGTTTTAATTATGCCAAGATTTTAAATAATTTAATGATATTTGATCAAAAACTGTAATGTCTAGATGAGATTGCTTGGTTATTGTTTGATGAACTACTTTTTGAAAAACTGATTTATTTAATAATGTCTTTGTATAGGTAATTGTTTTATTCTTTAAACTTCTGACAATGTCTATTATAGTATTTTTTAATAATTTTTTTTTTTTATGTTGAAGCAGGTAATATTTTTCTCCAATTTAGTGAACAAAAAACTATAAAATATCATACCTGATAATTCAAATTTATATAACTTTATATTTATTAGTTTTGTTTAAAATTTTTTAAAAAAAATTGAGAAAAATAATTGTATATTTATTTTTGCCAACACTTGTATATTAAAGTAGTGTATATTAATTTTTTTAATATAATCATTCATAACTATAATAATACTACTACACTGACTTTATAATACTTAATATTTTTAACCAAAATTATATACTGAAATTTTTGTAAGGTTACACGCATTACCGATGCTTGCATGACATTTTGATAACTAATACAATTTTGATTTGAATATCCCCTTAACTTACTTTTAATATTACAAATGGCCACTCCTATTTTTATAAATAACAACATTAATTAGTTTCATTCTAATTACTAATTACAATACATTCGAAAATGTTCACCATTTATTTATTTTATTGTATTTAATTGTTTCTAATTTATTCTAGTATTTTAAACATGCCAAAGCCTAATAGAGTTGTTCTATTTAATTGTGGTGCATCAAAAATATACAGAAACATTGCTTTGATTTTGAATATTACTATGAATTTATGATTGGTAAATTATAGTTATATAACTATATGATCTTTATAATTTTTAACCTTTAATATTTTTATAGCTATAGTACTATACAAATATATAATTGCTATAATATGTGATTCAAAAAACATATTTTATTCAGATTTGGGCTAACATATTATAACTTTATGCGGAATATTTTTTCTTTATTCTCTTAAAAAAGGGACTAAATTAATTTCCTGCTTCTAACAAACCAAAAAAAAAGGAGTCAAGGCCGGCTCTGCTCTTAGAATCCCACGTCTATGTGTGAAACTAATTATGTAAAACCGCAAAGTTATTGAACATTTGTTATGGAAAAACCATATACTTAACCGCACATACGTAGTCTGGTGGTAGGCTAATTCCGGAAGCTAAGTAATCCCATGACACTAAACATATGTGATCAGACAACATAGATTTCTAATTTATATTTCGAGCAACTGGTTCTAATCTGGCATCGGTGGCATCGGTGGACAGATCAAGCTTCGTAAGATATCAGGATTATAAAAAAGCCATACAGAAACAAACAAGATAATATTTTATGTTGTTTCCAAAGTGGAACTCTTACTTTGGCTTTTAGCCAAAGTTAGTAAAGCTTGTAAACTAATTCCAATAAGGTATTGCATTTATAAATGGGAAAAATGCATTTAAATCACTAACTTTCAAATTTGGTTAAAAAAAACATGAATTTTCTGTTGGACCATTTAAAACTTCAACTTATCTTGACTAATCATTTTAAACGCAAACATATATTGACTAAGCCATTTCAGGGACACCGTTAAATGTTAACGGATTGAGTTAACAGGGTTAACCTCCATTTATAATCTCTGTTAAATTAATACGACGTCGTTTTGAATTTTTTAAAAAAAAATTCATCAAGGGAATCAAACCCACGACCTAAACTGCCTTTGATACAATGTTAAGACACTGGACCACTTATGATTCCGTTGGCATGTATAAATATCAACAGTTGTTATTGTTAACTCAAATGCTAGTTCTTCTTCATGATCCTCGACATGTTTAATGTTTTGCAGGAAGAGGTTACTCTCCGTTAAGATGATGGCGACAATTTCTCATTTGATTTTAATCGTGATTGTTACCGGAGGATCTGTCTCTAATCTTTTTCTCCAGAACTTTTTGATGAAGCTTACGGCAGATTGATTTTTCCTTATCTTTTCGAATTATCACATGGTTATCCGATCAGATTCGATTTTTCGCGGTGGAGGAAGCTAGAATCAGAGTTTTCTCCATTCGGAACGTGACAGGAGACAGTAACTTCGTCCGTGTTTCACACGATTGTTATCAGAGTGTTGAAGCAACCTCTCGTGACAAACTAGCGTTTGAATTAACAATAACAACTATTAATATTTATACATGTCAACAGAATCGTAAGTGGTCTAGTGGCTTAACATTGTATCAAAGGCAGTTTAGGTCGTGGGTTTGATTCCCTTGATGAACATGTTTTAAAAATAATTCAAAACGACGTCGTATTAATTTAACAGAGATTATAAACAGAGGTTAACTCCGTTAACTCAATCCGTTAACCTCTTTAACGGCGTCCATGAAATGGCTTAGTCAATATATGTTTGAGTTTAAAATGGTTAGTCAAGATAAATTGAGGCTTTAAATGGTCCAGTAAAAAAATTCGTCTTTTTTGAACCAAATTTGAAAGTTGGTGATTTAAATGATATTTTTTTTAATTTATAAATTATCACGGAGTCCCTTCAAGTTAGTTTTTGTGGTGAGTTCTACAACTAGGTCTTATCGGGCCTTAGTGAAGTATCTGATATTTCACATTAGACTATATTTTAAATATTTTATTTAATTCTATTAGAACCTGCATTTTCAGTCCATCTTCAGCTACCCATATGTAGTCCGAAAGCCTAGAGAGATGTTTCTTAAAGTGATCCCCATCCGGGTTTTCAATCCAGCAAGCAAGCATGCACAAAACCTGCATAGAGTTTTGAACATGTAAGCGTTCTGAGAGAATACATGCATAATTAAAAGGTTTGCTCAAATGTTTTACCTTCTCAATACAACCAATGGTGATATAATGGCTATTTTCGTCCTCATAATGTATGTGTTTCATTGCCACTTGAAGAGCCTTTTCTCTTACGAGCTTGTTTAAAGGCCAACTTGTGAGGAAAGGCTCGGCGACTATGTGGAGAGTGTCCCATATCAAATCTTGGACCAGAGGGTGAGGATAGTACGTGTCTTCCTGCAACGGTAACTGATGTAATGTTTCCATAGATAAATTTGAAGATCAAAATTAGTCAACCATACCTTTGCACATAGACGCCGAGCTTTATTCCAGTTGATTTCTTCATAAGGTTGTACGTGAAGTTCTTCACGCAGTTGTATGATAAGAGGTGTAATTGGACCAACAAATCTTTTACCATATAGATAAGACATGGGCATATAAACCATCCGGGTATAGCACAACAATTTTCCTGTATTATATTTAATTTTGAGAAAATGATCATTTAAATCATCAACTTTCAAATTTAATTGAAAAAAACATGAACTATTTTTAGACCATTTAAAGTACCAACTTAGTTTGGTTAGTCATTTTAAACCTCAACTTAATTTGACTAAACTAAATTAAAGATGACGTTCACTCAGGTAACGGATTGATTAGACAGTGTTTAATCGCCGTAATCCAAACGACGTCGTTTTTTTCAAAAAAAAAAATTGTATCTGAAAGGAATCAAATCCGTGACCAAAGATACATACACTGTAAACTCGAATCACTAGACCACTTACAATTTTTTTAACTTAAATAAATACTAAACTATATTATTATTAAACCTCTAAATCATCTTCCTAACCTAAATCCCTAAAATCGATCCTTGTATTTGGAAACCGAGTTTCATAAATCGAAAGGGAAAGGTGGATTCAAGCAAGTGTTGCTGAATTTCGTCGCCGTCCCAATTTAACTTCATCAGCTTGTCTCTGAGTTTCGCTAAAACTTAATCTCTTGCCCTAAACTTAAAAAATAGCTCTTTTTGTGCCAAATTCATAGGAAGTGTGTGGATTTGTGAAACTCTCTGTTTCTAAATTCACTTTTTACCATGATCGATTTAGAGATTTAGGTTGGGAGAAGATGATTTGGGTAATATCTTTGGTCATAGGTTTGATTCCTTTCATATACAATTTATAAAGAAAACAAAAAACAAAACGACGCCATTTTGGACTTAACAAAGATTAGAAACGGTAATTAACTCCGTCTAATCATTATATACCCGAGTTAACGTCGTCTTTAATTTGGCTTAATCAAATTAAGTTGAGGTTTAAAGTGGATATTCAAACTAAATTGGTGCTTTAAATGGTCCAAGAAAAAAATCATGTTTTTTTCAATCAAATTTGAAAGTTGGCGATTTAAATGACAATTTTCTCATTTGTTTTTCTCTGCGTTAAAGCAGGCTATCTTAACAAAATAACTACAAATATGAGTGTATCAAGTTGATTCGTATAGCAATATCTCCAAAATAGGAACATGACAAACCTAAGTGTATTGGTAGGAATGAAGGTAGCAGCCACATCTCAGGAGGCATCGGGTTGGTTCCAGACCAATCATAGATTCCAAGTATCTACATGTGTATAGAAGAGGATTGTAGATGGTAATGCTAAAATCGAAAACTTCTACCATCTAAATTTAACACATGATAAACAAAAAAAAAACATTTACCGAGAGCCAGACTTTTCCCCAAGAAGGAATATAAGTCACACCACCATGGTCAAGAATCCATTGCCTAGCCCGTCTACATGCGTTTTCTTGTCCTCCATCGGAAGCTACTCCGAGCATACGCAAACATATGTAATTCAGCGCGGTGCTAAACATAACACTCTTGCTCTCAATATGTAACCCCCATCCACCATCTTCGTTCTACAAAATTAAGGTACAAAATCAAATTTTCTATAAATATCACTAGTCATGCACACTGGCGGATCTATGTGGGAAGATGGGATGTCACCTAACACCCCTTAAAACGAAATAAATATTTATTTGTACGTAAAAATATTGAGATATCAGTAGCTCTATTGGTAAAAACCTCCATGTGACACCCCTAACCTAGCTTCAAATACCCCCAATGACACCTTCAAATTTTTTTCTTTTACTTTGACACAGGTTAAATTAATTTCTAGATCTGCCACCACTATGCATGACATTTTCAGCTCAAAGTACCTGGTGACAGTAGATATATCGAAGCATCTCTTTACGATGCTCTGCATGGAATATCTCTTCCAAATGTCCTGTGATGTACAAACAAAATACCTACGGAAAAGTTTGTTTGCTTTAATCCTCTCGTCGCTATTTTTTTTTGTTGGTAAAAATGTAAAGAGAAACAATTTCCTTTCTCTCTACACAAAACAAAGGACACATTTACCAACGGAGGAAGAAAGAAGAGAGGTCCGGCGATCTCTCCGGGCCAGTGACCGTCGGAGGCCTGCAAAGCTGAGAAGAAAGAAACTCCACGCCGTAACGCTTTCGTAGCATTTTCATACGTTATGTTNTTTTTTTTTGTTGGTAAAAATGTAAAGAGAAACAATTTCCTTTCTCTCTACACAAAACAAAGGACACATTTACCAACGGAGGAAGAAAGAAGAGAGGTCCGGCGATCTCTCCGGGCCAGTGACCGTCGGAGGCCTGCAAAGCTGAGAAGAAAGAAACTCCACGCCGTAACGCTTTCGTAGCATTTTCATACGTTATGTTATCGCCATCGCTGATCTTCACCGGCGGTATCACTTGCTCAAATTTGGTCTCTTTCAAAAACTGATCGTTGGATAAAAAGTAAATAAAGATCATTTGACATATACACTAGGAATCGAACTCGAAATACAATCCTCCCGAACCCCGAGATCTGAATAAAAAAATTCAAATCTGCATTTGATTTGAGATGTAAATATATCCGAATAGATTGTGTACCATATTACAAAACATACTAAATTTTACTCTGCGCTAACGCGCGGATATATTTTTGTTTTTACAGTTATATTTAGTTTTAATAACAATCTGATAAAACATATTATTACAATTTTGTGTTTTATATTATGTAACTTGGTATTTTTGTTTAATATTATTAATATATAATTATTTATAATTTTCCTATTTTTTATTAAACAACATATATTAATAAATAATTTATTTGTTAAATTTAAAATAAAGATATTTATATAAGAATAAAATAGAATAATTTATCTATTTAACACGTTTCGTTAAGTTTTTTATATGTTTTCTAATGAAAAAGAGATTAGATTTTTATAGATATTTCTCACTGATCAAAATTTATTTTAATGATTTTTTATTTTAAATAAGCTAAATTTCTTTTATTTAATTTACAAACATAAAACATCAATTGTAAACTAAAAAATCGTACAATAAAACAATATAATTTGTACTTTTTAGAAGTTTTTCTAATTTTCATATTTTAACTTTATAAATTAAAATAATAAATGAAAATAGTAATTGTTTTTATTTAAAATTGAAATAGTAATTATTTCTAATATTTAATAATAATTACAAATTTAGTGAGTTATTTAAAATTCATAAGCAAAATATTTTCTAAGATTATGTAATAGTAAAATAGGAAATATTCAAAATAAATAGTGATATAATAGAATATTCTTATGTGTGATATTACATTTTATTCAAATGATCTAATGTATAAATAATATTTTAATGTATTAAAAATTATTAATGAAATGGTCTAATGACTTTTTATCAGTAGATAAAAATAGGACTCTATTTTAATAGATTAGATATTAACCTAAAGTGTTATTAATTGAGCCCAAACATATAACTAAAAAACTCAAAAAAAATTGAATTGTTTTTTTGAGAAAACGATTTGAAAATCCAAACTATTAAGTATAATATTCGAAACATAAATACTTAAGAGACTCTGTTCCATATTTATTTTAATATAATATCCTAAAATAATAATTTAAAAATAAAGTATGTCCTTAAATATCTAACTCAATGTTTATTTTGATATAATATTTAAAAGTATACGAACCCATATAAAGCAAATCTGGATTATATATGGTTCAGAAAGGATCTTAGGATGTATTACAAATTACATATGAATCTGGAGTATTATTAACAGATCCCGAACTATACTTATAAAATGTAAGAACATGATCTAGGAGGGTGATTATTAGTAGAAATTAATCACATAACCACATTTTAGTCACATTGTGGGTGTGTCTATTTTTTGTTTACTCACGAATACTAACAAATAGTCAAAACACAGAAAATGGTTAAAAAGTGACTCTGTAACAGTTTCGTGGCTATAATAGTTACTATCGATATATTTGTTTTCTAATGATATTTTGTGACTAAATTGACATGGTAAATAAATGTGCCAAAACCATGTGTAATTTGTCATGAAAATAATACGAAAATATAATGTGGCACTAAACATACACGATTATATTCGTGGCTAGTCATACACAATTGTAAAAAAATTGTGCTGACACAAATTTGCCACGATATATGCATAACTGTTTGAAATTCATAACTCTATACATTCATCTTAGACCCTAAACTCGAAAATAGGTCTAATTACACCAGGGCCATCTAAAACTTTATAGAGACCTTGTTCAGACAACAAAAAAAACTCTTCTTAATAATCTGAAATATTTTTTTTTTAAGTCTTGTTATAATATATTAAAGTTCTCAATTTAAAAAAAATATTTTTATACAAAAAAATAAATTACCTATCAACCGTTCAATATCAATAGCTATTGCCTTTTTAAGTTGAAGCTAAAAACAATTTATGGCCTACAATATCAAAAGTACTGTTTGAGTTTAATGAATGAATTTTACCGATAAATTATATTGTACTAGTAAATTGTTTTTTGTACTGTTTTCTTTTTGTTTTCCTACAAAGTATTTATGAAACTGATTTGTTATATGAAATTTTAATGTGATTCTTTTATTGTTATGTGGTTCTAATAAAATATGAAAGAGCGTATTTTTGAAATTTGCATATGTCATTTTTTGGTTGGATTGTGATGTTTTTTTAATTCAAGGTTGGATTGTGATGTTTTATACAGTTATTTACAAGTATTTACGATATATACACTTTTTGCCTTCTTGTTGGTAAAGTAAGTGACACTAATATAAATTCATTTTTTTTTCTTTCATTTCATTATGGAGTAAAACATTCTAAACTCCCCCCCCCCCTTTTTTCACAGATGGTCAAAACTTTTCACCGGAGAAGGTTCTATAATTATTTACAAGTATTTACGATATATGCTTTTGCTTTTTTGTTGTTAAAAGACATTCCCTCAATATACTCAGAACTATTCACTGGAGAAGGTGACAGTACTAGTGGAAATTCAATAAAAAAGACGGATATAGAAAAAGTTAACTATATACAGTACTCTTTATTGTAATCTACGTACTATATAGATCATATGGTATATTTTCTATCAAGATAGATAGATAGATAAAGCCCCACCGGTGGGTGAAAAAGAGACTTACTTGCATTCGCCACAAGACATCACTGCAAGCTTTAACACGAAAACGGTTGTCAAAGAAACTCCTGCGAGCTTCTTCCACGGCGGCTCGTTCCTCCGGTGTACCAGCTTTATAATCAAACTCCCACGTTTGACGTCCGATGAAGTTGTTGCTGCTGAACAAATGCCGATCTTCTCCATTTCCCTTTCCTATCTTCAACTTCCACATAATAAGGATCCTATGCATATATAACTGAGTTTAGAATTTCAGACAGATAAATATATCGTTTTTTTTAATAAATAAAATGTAATATTTCTTTCTGATAAATATATAGTTTAGTGTCGCATATTTCGACATGCGTAATAATTGTTAACAGTAGATATAAGATAACATATATTATGATTTTATATAATATTATATTGAAAGAGCCATCTCTTGCAACGATTAAGGAAGATGAAATAGAGAGATGGAGCGAAAGTACTTGTGTTCTCAAATTTTGCTTTCACGAGATACTTTCGAAGAGTTCCATGCACCTATGGTAATATATAGAGAGGGGTTAAAGACGATTAAGAGTTTTGATAGAATTATTTAAGAGAAGATTTAATATTTTACTAGAGTTTGATCGCTTTTAAAGTGCGGGGTTAATCTTTTCTAAAACATAGATTTCATTTTTATTTTATGAAAACTACATGGTAGCTGTATATCTTAAAATCTATACTAATTATTTTCTAGTGATTAAGAGTTAAATCTAGAGAAGATAAATGATGTGGGCAATGATGTTTTTAGAACACAACGATATAATCAGAATTCAGTTGACAAAAATGGACTTTATTGATATGAGATTTGATACAAAGAAATAATCGAGATTGGAAGTTACAAAGTGAGATCGAAACTAAAACAAGTTTAAGGCTAAAGAAACGAGGTCGATGTGAGTAGTGATGAGCTCTAGGGTTTTCCGTGTGTCCTTCGTCTTTCTTTTATAACCCTCTCTTCGTCGATTCTTCTCAACCGCCACCACGATCTTCGGGCTAGCACTTCGATCTCACCTGGCTCAATGCGGGTCAAATTGTAAATGGCAATGCATGAGCCTGGGCCTGTTTGGTTCCTGCCCGAAATTGGGACCAACATTTGTTCCCACAATCTTTTTTTTCTTTGTCGAAGGAGAAAAGATGGCTCATTCAATTCCAGTTGAGGAGGGTCGGTTCGGCTTCCTTCTCATTATTATTTTTTGAACCGTTGGTTCGATCGTTTCTTTTTGAAATTTCAAAGGGCACGCCACCTTTGGGGTGAACCCTAGATCTTTCTATTTTTTTCCTCGGTATTGATGATAGAGCCGTTGGGGATTGTAGGTATCTTTAAATACTTGGAAATCACCGTCCGTACCTAGCTCCTTCTCCATTCTTTTCTTTCTTTGCGATTCTCAACCTTTCAATTTCAAAGTCAGATTAAGATGACTGATCGTTTTCTATTCCTCTTCCGATGACCACGGCGGATCGCCTTGAGAATCTGTACACGACACACGGTGTTGATTGTGCGGGCGTGCTTGAGCTTGCCGCTACATTCGAGATTCATGAGACCATTCGTGAGGGTTTTTATGGAGCGTATCTCTATTTCTTCGAGTCTTGCGGTCTCTTTTTCCCGATTCTGGAGCCCATTCTTGGCATCTTGGCCGAACTGGGCATATTGTTCACCCAGATGTGTCCTAACTTGTCGAGACATCTTCTAGCTCTTTTGGTCATAGTTCGTGAGGAAGGTTTAGCGTTTGGTCTTGGCGACCTTCACCATGTGTGTTTAATGAAGAGAAACAATCAAAATCACGGGACTTTCCTCATGTCACCTCGTCCGGGGCGGCAAATTGTTCAGGGGATTCTGTTTCGTGATCAAGATTGGTGAGAGGAGTTTTTCATTTTTAAGGTAGATCGGTCATCGATGGGTAACTTTCGATTTCTCAAAGCTTCCTTGCAACTGGGACGACGACATAAGTAAATCTTTTAATTTTGGGATCTTTATTGTGTGCTATTTTCTATGGGATCAGTGAATTGATTGATCTCGTTTTTATCAGTTCATTTTGGGAGCTCCTTGATGTTCGACGAGCTATGTGGTCTGTTAGAGGTTTTACAGTGGGAAGACTTGGTTTGGTCGTCCTTTGATCTGACCCATATTTGTGCTGCTTTCTTGCTGCCGGATGGGACCGGCAAAGCGTCGGCGGTCGCAGGTCACTCGTTCGATCGTGGTGACGTTACGAGCCCCTCCAAAGACCTTTATTCTTCAAGTAGGTTGGATAAGAAATTGTTTAGGAGGTCGTCGTTTTTGGCATCTAGGTCTGCCGCTAGGGGGAAGACTACCGGAGGGTCTCCTTTAGTCCCGATTCGAGATTCCGATGATGAAGGTATTCCTACGATACGGGGATCTCCTATCTCTCTGAGTCCTGACTCGGAGGACGAGTTTTCCGTTGCTGGTCGTACACAGCATCGATCATCGCGAATCACTCCTTTGGTTACTCAGAGTGATCTTGTGCCTCGAAGTCGCGGCACGGCGGCTCATAGCTCTCGTTTTTTCGCTTTCGCCTCCTTATAAGAGAGGGATGCCTATGCTAAGGTAGCATCCGAAAATTCTAAGGTGTATTGCAATTTTAATTCTGCGTGTTCTCCTTTGTGAGGTTTTGGAGGGAACTTTGTTCTGAAATCCTTTTTCTTCAGGTTATGGAGGCCTTCAGAGAATTTGTTACAACATCGGAGAGTCGCGAGGAGAAGCAGTCGGCAAAGATGAGGGCCAAAATTCAGGGTCTTACATAATAGCTTCGGAAGTCGAAGGAAGAAATCAGAAAGAAGAATGGAGAGGCGATTCTCCTTAGGGACGAATGGAAGAGGGCTCGCCATGAGGGGATGATATTCGAGACCGAAGCCGCTGCTTTAAAGACAAAGATCATGGAATTCGAGGCTGATTGTGATCGGCATATACGTCGTGGTTCTCGTAATGTGTGTCGTGAGGTCACTGACCGCTACAAGGAAGTCCTCGCTTCTTTGGAGAAGCGTTGATTTGACAAGCGGAAGGAAGCTGTTGCCGAGATTCAGTTGCACGAGGTGGTTGTGAACATTGATCTTCTTAACGAGATTAAGAGTGAAAGGTTGGTTGTCGATAACGAGCTCATACGTCTCAAGGAAATGGAGAAGGAGTGTGAGGCCGTCGCTGAGCTGGTTGCTGTCTCAGACTGGGCTGTTTCAGATTTTGATCTTCCCGAGATTTCTGGCTATTCGGTTGTCGGGAATTCTTCTTCTGGAGAAGAATCCAACTCCTAGACTTGTGTTCCCTTTTCTTTTTGTTTTCTCTTTGTAGGATATTTTGTTCCACAATATTTCAGACGTATTTCTTTGGATAACAACGAACTAAGGATATCTTTTTCTCGAGATTTTATTCTTTCATGTTGGTACGAATCGATATACTTTGCCTTTATAAATATCAAACATGTTCTATACGATCTCTGTATCTTAGAGAGTATATTATTCTTATAACGAATTATGGCATCGAGGAAGACAAGTTCTTGGAATCCGAGAGGGTTCAGAGTCGAAACAATGGAATGGCGAAGGGCAGATCCGTTTTGGCGATGTGAGCGAAGCGCTCACCAAAGTTCTCCGTGAGGAGACCCAACTTCCACGTGTTTTGGCTCGGTCTAAGGCTAAAGATCTTGAGGAACCACCGGCGGTGACTCGTTTGAGTTCAGGTAGCTCGAATAGTTCTGAGGGGCATGATCTTCCTCCGAAGAAGGCGAAGACATCTGGGAACGATGCTCGATCTGGCTTTGCGGGTGATGGTACGGTTGTGAATCTGTTTCATTGGAAATGCTCTCATTCTAAGGATTGTCCAATTACGGACGATCCTATAGTGTTGCCCACTTAGTTCGGCATTTTAAGCTGGCGGGGTGTCCGCTCCCCTTGTTGCGGAATATGACAGAACGCGATGCTTACTTAAAAATGGCAGTCGCTCATGCTAAGGTTAGTTTCCTCAGTCCTTGAGTCCCGGATGTTTGCCTTCTTATTGTTTATAACTCGTGGCATTTTCAGGCTATGGAGGCTAATAACGAGTTTGTAGCGACTTTGGAGAAGCGTTTGCGGGACATTCCTCGGGCTGACGAGCTCTACGAAGCTAAGAAGGTCGTTCGAGAGCTAACGCTTAGTTTGAAGATATCTCAAGATAGGGAGCGTGCCAACTGATATACCATGGTTTTGACCCACTTTTAACCATGGTATTTATATGGTTTTACAATATATATATATATATATATATATATATATATATATATATATATATATATTATGGAGTCTATTAGGTATGTTTTCAGGTTCAGGAGCATTTTGGAGTAAAGTGATGATTTAGGTGCCCTTATGGACTTAAAGAAGAGTTTTCCCGGGATGACTATAAAGATCAGACAACAAGGTCGATATACAGAGATACATATCGATCGATACACATCCTGTGTAATCGATCGACGACGCTTCCGTAGAGGATGACGAATTGAGATACTCCATCGATCGATGGTATCGATCGATGTACGCCATGTACCATCGATCGATATGAAGCGTAAAGAACAAGTTTGAGTCGGCCTTGAAGCCCAAGTTCTCTCAATATTACAAGATTTCCTCTGACGAGTTTTTAACCTAATGGAACTCATATTTATAGTTATGCCTATGTGTTTTGGCTATGTGTGCTTTTACATGCTTTTTATGCCTTTTTTACTTCTAAAGCTTTGCATGCTTTTTTACCTTTGAATGTTTTTTGTGTTCTTAGCTCTTTGATTTATAAAAGTATTCTTTTCATCTTATTCTCATTTTCATAAAAGGTTATAGAATTCTAGATTTAGAAGAAACACACAAAGAGATTTGTTGTTCAAAAGAACCAAGAGTTCAATCTTCTAAATCTAATGAATTTCTATTATTACCTTGTTGCTATGAATCACTTAGCCATGTCTGAGTAGATTCACTTATTAGATTTAGGGTTCAAGTAGTTATGAGGGATTAGCCCCAACTATGGATTGTTGAGTTGTGATATTCATTATCCTGATGAACCCTAATGCTTACTCTAGAGTAGCTAACTAGAGTAGGATCATGGAATGATTTAACTTGTTAAATCATCATCCTGAAATCATCTAGTATAAGCTGAGATCCTCTAGGGATGAACGAGAGCCGGTCTATGATCTTGGTGGACACATATTCAACTCGATCTGAAGCTATATCGATCGATACTCCTAT